AACCCGCTGGCCTCTGATGTTCGGCCTTCACTTGTTGACAAGTAAGGCACCTTGATACGAAAACAGCCATATCTCTCTTCATACCCTGCTACCAAAACTGGCGACCAAAATCCCGATACATCTTAGTGCCTCCCGGATACACCGCAAGACGTGAATGATGGAACTCTCGGAGTACTTCATCTCGGCAAGACTCTGGCACAAGCAAACGGTCTCAGTATCTCACACTCTGGTCGGGATACACCGTCAAACCCTTTTCAACTTTCCATCTGGAGATCTTCTCTCGAAGGGATTTTACCTCAAGGTCATCTCTCTGTGCCTCTAACACTCGGGTCACAACTGTAGGCTGCGCAACAATAGAAAACAAGGCCGCAGCCTTAACAGATTCGCCCAGAAGCAAATCAAACTCGCCAAGTGCACCCAACATCTCCCATTCCCGGATGGCTATACAAGTTACATCACTAATGAGTTTCCTACTAAGGGCATCGGCCACAACATTGGCCTTTCCCGAGTAATAGTGCAACTCAAAATCATAGTCTTTAATGAACTCCATCCATCTCATCTGCCTCAAATTCAAGTCTCTCTGTGTAAATAGATACCTCAAACTCTTGTGGTCTGAGAACACCTCGAACCTCTCACCATAAAGGTAGTGCCTCCAAATCTTCAAGGTGAAGATCACTGCAGCTAACTCTAGGTCATGTGTAGGGTAATTCTTCTCGTGTATTTTCAACTGACGTGAGCCATAAGTTACCACTTTCCCTTCTTGCATCAACACACAACCCAAACCCTCTCGTGAGGCATCACAATAAACCGCATAACCCAACCCTCTCTCCGGAATAATCAAAACTGGAGCGATGGTCAATCTAATTTTCAACTCCTGAAACGACTTTTCGCAAGTCCCACTCCACACAAACTTGACCCCTTTTCGCGTCAATCTAGTCAACGGTGAAGCTAGCTTGGAGAAATCTTTCACAAACCGACGGTAATACCTAGCTAATCCCAGAAAACTGTGGATCTCAAACACACTCTTAGGCTGTGTCCAATCTTGCACTGCCTCTACCTTGGATGTATCAACAGACACCCCTTTCCCGGATACCACATGGCCTAAGAATTTGATCTCTCCTAGCCAAAACTCACACTTTCCAAACTTGGCATACAGCCTATGGGCTCTAAGCAACTCAAGCACCACTCTCAAGTGTTCCTCGTGCTCTTCCTCAGAAGGCGAATAGATAAGAATGCCGTCCACGAAAACGACCACAAAGCGATTTAGGAATTCTCGGAAGATCCGGTTTATCAAGTCCATAAAGACTGCTGGTGCATTGGTAAGCCTGAATGGTATTACCAGAAACTCATAATGGCCATACCGCATACGAAATGCCGTCTTAGGAATATTCTCCTCCCTAACCCTCAACTGGTGGTAACCCGATCTCAAGTCTATCTTAGAGAAACAACGGGAACCCTTCAACTGGTCAACTCAGCTGGGGCAAAACGATAAGGTGCTATAGAAATCAGCGTTGTGTCGGGCACTAAATCAATAGAGAACTCTATCTCTCGGTGAGGTGGCAAACTAACGAGATCCTCGGAAAAAACATCCGAATACTCGCAAACCACCCTCGACAATACAATCAGGGTCTCATCACACTCACCACTCATAAAGCTAGCAAGTAGACCACTAAGCTTATTTTGCCCTCGCGGATCATACATCGGTGGCAACACACTACCAACCCGATCCCCCAAGAAATGGAAACACTCCCTGCTCAAGGTACATACTGTGACCTTCTAGCGGTAGCAATCGATAACAGCCTGGTATGATGATAGCCAGTCCATACCCAAAATAATATCAAAACCCTTTATGGGCATGATAATAAAAGGAAAAGGAAGCCTATGGTCGGCGACCTCTATATCACAACCTCTACATTTGTGTTTCAAAATCAATTCACCCCCAACAGGTGATACTACACAAATAGGAGATGCAAACAGTGCCAACTCCAACTTCAACATAGATGCAAATACAGGAGATACAAAAGAATGGGACGCACCTGTATCAATCAATACACTAGCAACCGAGTTGCAAAACAAAAAGGTGCTTCTCACTATTAATGGAGCCGGTACTAGGTCCTGCGCGGTAACAGCATACACGCGCCCTGTAGGCCCCTGATCCACCTGCTTACCTCTAGGAGCAAAAGACTGCTGCACTGACTGGAGCAAAAGACTGCTGCACTGACTGGGATGACGAAGCTCCTGGATTGGCCCTCGAGGCCTGCACAGACTGAGCTGGCTGATAACTCTGCATTTGCCTAGAACCAGACGCTCCTGAAGTGGCACTCAACTGTGGGTAATACCTCTTCAGGTGCCCAGGCTGACCACACTGATAACAAGACAAAGGCTGGCCCCTGCCCTGACTCTGGCCCTGAGGTCTAGCTGAAGAAGAAGCAGCTCGCTGACTCCCTCCCTTCTGCGAGCAAACCGAAGACTTGTGACCCAGCTGGCCACACGCAAAACAAGTCAAGCCTCCCTGACTACCTCTCCCAGAGCCTGCACCCGGCACTGGAAAGGTCGATCTAGCCAAACCACTCTAAGACTGCTGAGGATTAGAACCCTTCTGTCTCCTGCCATCACCCTGACCATCTTGGCTCCTCTTGGAGCCTCTCTGCCCTTCATCCTCCTCCTGCATCATAATCTCTATATGAGTTGTAGCATCAACCAAATGTTTGTACTCTCGAATAAAGGACCCTCCAACTCTCAGCTTGAGTCCATGCCTTAACTTCCACTTAAACTCAAAGCAACGACGTTCTTCGGACGCCACAAGTTCAGGTGCAAACCTGGACAGACTAGTAAAAGTAGCCTCAAACTTGGCCACTGACAAGCCCTACTGTTTAAGCTGGCAAAATTGCTCCCTCAGCTTCTCCCTAGCAGCTGAAGATAAAAACTTCTCTTGGAAGGTATTCACAAAAACCTCCCATGCACCCCTAACACTGCCCTTCTCGTACTTCCACCATTGACCCGCATCTCCTTTCAGTTGGAAGGATGCCAAGGTCACCTTTAGAGCCCCGTCTTCGATGTCAAGCATTTCCAACGTCTTCTCCATCTGTTCCAACCACGCGTCAGCCTGAAGTGGTTCCTTCGGATCCCTAACAAAATCGTCCGGGTTTGACCGGAAGAATTCCCTCTTCAAGAAGGAAGGCCCTGCCTCAGCTGCGTGGGCTTGTTCCTGATTCTCAGCTCTGAGAATACCCAAAGCTCCTGCTATTTCTCGGGCCAAGGCACTCATAGCCTGCTGATCCGCTGGTTCGGCCACATTGGCCTGACCAACTCCCTCCTGCTATGCCGGAATATCATCCGGTAAAGGCATCTCCTGCCTACCACGCCTGCCACGTCCTCGTCCTGACATCCTAATAAAGGTAACCAAGACCGTTAGCACATTCACAAATGTGCCGAAGCTATAACACTCTCGTCCTAATGTATGGACAACTGTAATTCACTCCACGTAAGCACATAATCACATAAGCAATTACGAATTTCATTTCCGGATAATGATAGTCCCGAGGCGTTAATAGAGTTCCGGTTAGAAATAGCATTGATCAAGTGCTTTTCTAACAAGACTCCCAGAAACCCAAGGATCAAATCAACATCCTATAAATTACATTTCATACTCACATAGTCACATAAACATGTTATCATATAAGAACATAATACTACATCTAAGTCTCTATCAAGCGAGACAAACCCATTGTGATCCTAATCACTTCCCGCGTACCCAAAGTATTCGAACTCGGTAGCTCTGATACCAAGTTGTAACGTCCTCAAAATAATACATAAAACTCATCACTTTAGACATGCATTCATATAAAAGAAACCAACCATTTCTATTTATCAGAGTAATTCTTACAACAGTATTACATGTTAACAACAAAAGCAAATGCCCTATGGGCTTACAGCTTTCCAAGTCAACACCTGGTTACACAAAAGAAGAGTACTAACTCTATACAAAATAAGCCCTTGGCTTGATATACATGTAATACAAACAAAACAAACAAAAAGAGTCTTTAACTCTCATCATCATCCAAGCTATGTCCTTGGAGGTGGCATGCTACTTGTACCTGAGAATAATGTCCCATCTAGGGTGAGCCAACGCCCAGTAGAGATATGCTAAACGCAGTATGAGCAATAACTAAGACATTAGCAATTGATAAATGCGCAATTTTCATAAATCAATTCATAACCCATTTCTATTTCATGACCACTGTGTTCATGTTTCATTTCATTTTCCATTTTTTATCAATTTCACAATTTACATCAACAGCTCAGAACCTAGCCAACCACTTATATGAGACAGTGACTCATATTAAACATTTCCCATTTTACAATAGATAAACACACTAGTTGTATCAACATCTCAACAAATAAGCATACAAGCTGTATCCACATTTCAATAGGTAAGCATATTAGATATATCATGACTTCCAAAGATAAGCATATAAGCTATATCAACACATTAACTGACAAGCATATGAGCTGTATCAGTGGAGTCCATTCCCTATCTCCTCCCAAACAACATCCGGTTTAGAGGTCCATCTCCTATCTTCCCCTAAACCATGGAGTACATCCCCTATCTCCTCCCACACACACAACGTATATACACATAGGTTATATACACAATCAATCAATACATAACGTTAATGTATTCTATCAATCGTCATACTCTATGACATATCCCATTGATTAGTTCTAGTTTGTCTAATCATCATGCATTGTCTACAACAATCAAAACTATCCCCCACCGGTAGCCCAAGCAATTATTTCTAAACAGATAATAAAAGCACCAACAGATAAAATATAATGTTTTCAAAAGTGAGTGATTAATAAATCTAACTCCACTATCCTACTATATAATGAGCCAATTTCATTATTCCCAACTCAATTCCATATAGCCACAATTTTCTCAAATTAATTATACCAATTAATTTATACAACCAATTAGGATTTTCTACCTCATTTCCCAATATTGACTCAATGATCTATATATCAACTACCAACAACAATATTATTATTTTGAAACCCACAATACACATTTTAGAATCAAAATAACAAAATTCTTTGTTAACATTTTGAAATCCTAAGTCCCAAAAGATAAGGAATATGCACGAAAATGGAGGTTACGGCTAAGCATATTTCAAACAACTTCTATGTCTTTACATACCATCCTTGTCTTATTATATTTAAACTTTAAATGTAGGTTAACTGTTTGGCGAGGAACCACCAAGGAGACTTATGTTTTCTATGACGATCTTGAGTCAATAATTCAAGACAACTCCATAACAAACAATGTATGGTGCTTTGTACATTGTCCATTAAAGGTTATATATATTAACATTCACATCACAATCACATTAACATTGAACATATACAGGTCATAGATGCATATGTAGAAATTTTAAGAAGAAAGCAGGAATCAATGATGACAGATTCACAACAATTTGACAAATCATTCTTTTTCAACAGCTTGTGTTTGGTATAATTTGTTATTTTATTTTTTTTATCCTGAATTAAAAACAAGTTTGATCCCTTATTTATAAAATTAATTACTAACAAAGTGCTGTCAATGTTTACAGAGCATGATTAAAGATGAAAAATTAGAACTCCAAGCCAAATTCATTGATCCTCACATCAAGCAAGCAAATCAGTACCGATATCTGCACTTTCCACTCCACTTTAAGTATCATTGGACCATAGTAGTGAGCGACATGGATGATGGAGTGTGGAAGCACTACAATTCAATGAGGCCCAGAGATGGTTTTGAAGACATACACCTAGCTCAAGCAAACATAGTGATAATTTCAATATTTCATTCAATAATATGAAAAAATGTACATCTTGAGTTACATATCAACGTAGTTAAAATATTATCTATTCTACACATTTAATCATATTCACAATCGCAGAAGACATATATCGAATCACATATTCAGAAATTGCTCTCCACATCGGATATGGCAGATACATTAACACCCTCAGATTATGTCAAGCCATTGCAATCAGTTGATGCATGCTCTCAACAAGACCCAAATTCGTGAGTATTTACAATTAATATTCTCATTGACATAGTAGCTACAACCAATGTGAATATAACAAAATATTGATTTTTTTTTTTTTTTTTTTTTTTTCTCCTACAGTCTTAATTACGGAGTTGCACTTTGTTACATAATGAGGCAACATGCCCTTCATGAACCAATTGAACTTGTGCTGGACAAGGAAGCTTGGCTTGCTATGAGAGTTCTATTAGTTGAAGCATTCCTGAATGATCCTGAAAGAACAAATCATCCAAGTTTTGTTGTTGACACCAACGAGGATGCATCTCAGAACTAGACTTCATATTTTCACACCCTACCATTTTCTTTTGATGTATTGATGAAACAATGTTAACATTAGCTTTTGTCCAAGTACAATATGTTTTGTATATAATATACCACTCACTAACATGTGAACTTGGGTATTGTTAGTTAGTAAACAATCATTACACAAAGATGTTGATATGAATAGCTATATACATTTTGTTTACCAAGAAATGTACTTTTAATATCAATGTTCTTTCTTGGTCTTAATCATGGTGTATGAGAATTATTAGTCATTATATGTGTTTGTTAAGCACAACACAATGTGAAAGTTTACATACGTATATCATATGCTCACCTTGTCAACACATATTGGGGATATATTTAACTTTTTTACATTTTATTTTGCAAAAAATCAAAAAAAACTATTTCACAAAAAAAAAAATGTAAAGAAACTACAAAATTACAAATTTCATAGAACAAATCAACTTTTTATTGACACATTGTATCAAAATATGAAAATTCACATTAAGAAGCTTGCACCAACAAGTGCACTCATACATGAACTACTAAATTGTTTACTAATGCAAATATATGTAACATTCACAGCTCTATGTTATTTATCTAAAACAAATTATGCACTATAAATACTTACAACTCAACATAATATTCACAACGATATCCAACACATGAACCAATACTCACAACTCAACATAATATTCACATGAACTCTATTATTTGATCTTTAACAACTTTAATTGTGGCTGCCCATCTTTTTCCATCTACCACACCTCAAATCTATTCGAAAACATATATCATATTCCATCCATGAACACATATTGTGTATATATGTAACAAGATAATATTTTGTTTTGATAAAACGGATAAACAAATTATTTCATAAATATACAAAGTGAAAAAAGAAAAACTACAAAATGTGAACATTCACAATGTGAACATTCAAAAAAAAAAAACTACAAAATGACAAATTGCATAGAATTAATGAATCCCTTCTTATTCAAAAATTGTATCGAAATACAAAACAAGTACACCAATGTATCAACTAATAAAATGTGTATCCAATGTAAATGTATGTAACATTCACAATGGTATCTTATTTATCTTAAAAAAAAAAAAATGCACTGTAAATGTTCAAAACTGAATGTGAAATTCACAATGTCCATCAACCCATCAACTAATATAACTCTGTATTGGTTCTTTGCACGACTTTCGATTGTGCCTGCCCATCTTTCCACATCTACCACACCTGATTTGAATTACTTTTTCCCTTCGAGTTGGTATTCTACTCTTTCTCGGCCTACCAATTGGCCGTTTTACAATTTGAGGTAATATGATGAAATCGCTAGAGCAAAAATCTGGTTTCTCCACAGATGGTATTGGGAAAATAGCCGTTGCATATGCTTCCCTATAATTCTCTATATGAAAATATTTTTCAACACAATCATTAAGATTATATGCACTCCTTTGGATAGCCGCAACAGCATGTTCACAAGGAAATCCATTTACTTGCCACTGGTAGCAAGAACAAACACAGCATCCAACATCAACCGTAACTGATGGAAACGAATGCACCTCGAACACATCATCATTAACTTTACTCACATTCCATGACCTACTAGAATTGAATGAATCTTGGATAGGGCAAATAATTCCATTCCACTTGTTTGCAATATCCCTTCGCTCTGACATTTTACACATTATTTGATTCCGGATAGTATCAACCAATTTTGTTATTGGAAGATTTCGTGCTTCTTTAATCCAATTGTTGAATGATTCAGCAACATTGGATGTCATCTCGCCATATCGTTGTCCCCTAACACATAATAGCAAAAATTGTCACAATTTAATACCATATGTGACATTTCACATTGTTATAACAACACAAAAATATAAACAATGTACATATAACTATCATTATGTTCCATGAAACACACAATTGTACACACTTTACCTAAAGTAAGCATTTGCCCAATGTTCTAGTTCTAACCCTGACAAGAAGTTATATGCTCGTTGTTTCCCCTCACTCTTCAACTCTTCTAGTAATGCATGAAAACCTGTCACAGTAGGTTCATATGCACAATCACCCAACTTCTGTATTAAGTGTTCCTTGAAATCATTCTCCATACCCTTCAACTTGTCCCTAAAATTATTCTTTAGGTGTTGTAAACACCATCCATGATATGCTGATGGGAATGCCTTTGGCATTGCTTCCAAAAGCCCTAGATTACGATCGGATATAAATGTCATGCGTCTATCATCAGCAATTACTTTTGATAGTTCATATAGAAACCATGACCAATTCAATTCACTCTTCGAATAAACAATTGCAAAGGCTACTGGAAACAATCCTAAAAACAAAACCAATATTAACAGTCACAACTCACACACAAAAAGTAAACAAATGTAAAACTTCACATCAAAAAACTAAACAAACCTTGGTTACCGTCTTTAGCTGTCGCTGCAAGCAACTGCTATAACGCCCTCAAAAAAATACATAAAACCCATCACTTTAGACATGCATTGATATAAAAGAAACCAACCATTTCTATTCATCAGAGTAATTCTTACAACTGTATTACATGTTAACAACAAAAGCAAATGCCCTATGGGCTTACAGCTTTCCAAGTCAACACTTGGTTACACAAAAGAAGAGTACTAACTCTATACAAAATAGCCCTTGGCTTGATATACATGTAATACAAACAAAATAAACAAAAAGAGTCTTCAACTCTCATCATCATCCAAGCTATGTCCTTGGAGGTGGCATACTACCTGTACCTGAAAATAATGTCCCATAAAGGGTGAGCCAACGCCTAGTAGAGATATGCTAAACACAGTATGAGCAATGACTAAGACATTAGCAATTGATAAATGTTCAATTTCCATGAACCAATTCATAACCCATTTCTATTTCATGACCACTATGTTCTTGTTTCATTTCAATTTCCATTTCTTATCAATTTCACAATTTACATCAACGGCTCAGAACCTGGCCAACCACTTATATGCGACAGTGACTCATATTAAACATTTCCCATTTTACAATAGATAAACATACTAGTTGTATCAACATCTCAATAGATAAGCATACAAGCTATATCCACATTTCAACAGATATGCATATTAGCTATATCAATACTTCCAAAGATAAGCATATGAGCTGTATCAACACTTCCAAAGATAAGCATATGAGCTGTATCAACACATTATCTGACAAGCATATGAGCTGTATCAGTGGAGTCCATCCCCTATCTTCTCCCAAACAACATCCGGTTTAGAGGTCCATCCCCTATCTTCCCCTAAACCATGGAGTACATCCCCTATCTCCTCCCACACACACAACGTATATACACAAAGGTCATATACACAATCAATCAATACATAACGTTAATGTATTCTACCAACCGTCATACTCTATGACATATCCAATTGATTAGTTTTAGTTTTCCTAATCATCATGCATTGTCTACAATAATCAAAACTACCTTCCACCGGTAGCCCAATTAATTATTTCTAAACAGATAATAAAAGCACCAACAGATGAAATATCAATATTTTCAAAAGTGAGCGATTAATAAATATAACTCCACTATTCTACCATATAATGAACAAATTTCATTATTTCCAACTCAATTCCATATAGCTACAATTTTTTCAAATTAATTATACCAATTAATTTAAACAACAAATTAGGGTTTTTTCCCCCAACTCTCAATATCAACTCAAAGGTTCAAATGTCACCAACCAACAACTATATCATCATTTTGAAACCCAAAATACATATTATGAGCCCAAAATCACAAACCCTCTTTAACACATTTTCAAACCCCAAGTCCCAAAATCAACCATTTAAACAATAAGCTCAAAATCTAGGTTAAAACCCATAAGAGTGAGTAGGAATCCCTACCTCAAATTCGGAGCTCAAGGAAAGAACATGAAGAAACTCAACGTACTCCAAAACTCAATACACTCGGATCAAAACGTAGCCCTCGACGATCAACCCAACTCTTACAAAGGCCGAAGGGAAGGGAAGTACTCTAACTAGATCAAACTCTAGAGAGAAGGGAGTTTCTAGAGAGAGGAACTCTCAAAATGGCTTTTTAGAAAGTAAGAGAGAGAGAGAGAGAGAAAGTAAAAAGTGAATTTAAAACGCTTAGCTGCCAACTGATATATGACATTCCCGCTCGAGCAGAGAACACAACGCTCGAGCGTCAAGAACAAAAAACTAGGTACGCTCGAGCGCAAGAAGGCCCGCTCGAGCGCCAAGACACAAGAATAAAGTACATCCGCTCGAGCGCGAAAACCAGTCCGCTCGAGCGTAGATTTTCCCCTCCCAGAACTTACACCAAAAGGTACTACCCGCTCGAGCGCCAGAGTACCCACTTGAGCGCCACCGTTCGAGCGCAAAGAAACCCGCTCGAGCGTGAGAAACATGCCTGCAGAAGTTCTGCAGAGCACTAAAATACTGGGAGCGTGCAATATCTGCTCGAGCGCAAGAAGACCCGCTCGAGTGGACCTCCTAAAAACTGGGCAACAAGGAATTGAAACCAAAGCCTAACTAACCTGTAACAACTCTGCCCAAAACATCCTAAAACCCGAACAAATGGAATTAAAGGATGACAACAAGATAGATACAACTACCAACTCCACGGAACTGAGTCCGGAATACAACAGAACAGTAAAGGGACAACCGGGATCGTTATAACCTCCCCCCCTTAAAGAATTTCGTCCCCGAAATTAAACACAAGTTTTTCAAAAACAAGTTTTCTTCATTCTCAACAATATTACAACATAATATTAAACAACTCGACCCATTACCGGTCATTCCCATCTTTTTTCAAGAGGCATATCACATTATTCATAACAACCTGCATTATCAACATACATTCTTTTGAAATTTACCAATTTCAACTCATTTTTCACAATTCCATAATACATGGAACATTATCATCATGCTTGCATTTCCACAATACATTGAACATATGCAATGTTATAACAAATTTCCATTAACCAAAACATTCACAATGTTTTACAACTTAAGACACATATAATGTTCTTAAAGTTCAATGATATTACAAAAATTTCAATACATGGTTATACATCAACAAACAAGTCCGGATATTTCTCGCGGACTTCCAACTCACGTTCCCAAGTGGCTTTCTCCACTCCGTGATGTTTCCACAAAACCTTCACCAAAGGAATGGTCTTGCCACGCAGGACTTGATCCCGCTTATCCAAGACCCAAACCGGTCTCTCCTCATACAAGGCATCCTCATCTACCTCCAAGTCGGTCCAATCTAACACATGGGATGGATCCGGCTTATACTTCCGAAGCATACTCACATGAAACACGTCATGCACTTCGGACAACTGCGGCGGTAAAGCTAAACGATAAGCAACCTTGCCATCCCTTTCAAGGATCTCAAAGGGACCAATAAACCGAGGGGATAACTTCCCACTCTTCCTGAACCTCATCAAACCTCTCCTAGGTGATATTTTCAAGAATACATGATCACCTACCTCAAACGCCAAAGGCCTCCTCCCACGGTCGGCATAACTCTTTTGGCAACTCTGGGTTGTAACAGGCCTCCTACGGATAAGCTCAACTTTCTCCGTTGTCTCCCTAACCAACTCCGGACCCAACAAAGGTGCATCACCCACCTCGGCCCAACACACTGGAGACCTACACGGTCGGCCATACAAGGCCTCAAACGGTGCCATACCGATGCTAGATTGAAAACTGTTATTGTAGGCAAACTCCACCAAGGGCAAGTGCCTCTCCCATGTCCCACTAAAGTCAAGGACACAACCTCGAAGCATATCCTCAAGGATCTAAATAGTACGCTCGGACTGCCCGTCAGTCTGAGGATGATAAGCCGTACTAAAGGTCAACCTAGTGCCCATGACACTCTGCAAACTTTGCCACAACCTAGCAGTAAAACGAGGATCTCTATCTGAGACGATCGTCACTGGAACCTCGTGCAATCTCACTATGTCCCGAATATACAAGTCGGCGAAATGATCTACTGAATCTCTCACGCGCATAGCAATGAAATGTGCCGACTTAGTCAACCGGTCTACAACCACCCAAATGGCATCACTACCCCGCTGAGTCCTTGGAAGACCTACAACGAAGTCCATAGTGACATGCTCCAACTTCTACTCGGCAATAGGCAAGGGTTGCAGCAAACCCGCTGGCCTCTGATGCTCGGCCTTCACTTGTTGACAAGTAAGGCACTTCGATACGAACACAGCCACATCTCTCTTCATACCCTGCCACCAAAACTGGCGACCCAAATCCCGATACATCTTAGTGCCTCCTGGATGCACCGCAAGGCGTGAATGATGGAACTCTCGGAGTACTTCCTCTTGGCAAGACTCCGGCACAAACAAACGGTCTCGGTATCTCACACTCAGGTCGGGATACACCGTCAAACCCGTCTCAACCTTCCCATTTGAGATCTTCTCTCGGAGGGATTCTACCTCAAGGTCACCTCTCTGTGCCTCTAACACTCGGGTCACAAGTGTAGGCTACGCAACAATAGAAAACAAGGCCGCAGCCTCAGCTAATTCACTCAGAAGCAAGTCAAACTCGCCAAGTGCACCCAACATCTTCCATTCCCGGATGGCTATACAAGCTACATCACTAATGGATTTCCTACTAAGGGCATCGGCCACAACATTGGCCTTTCCCGGGTGATAGTGCAACTCGAAATCATAGTCCTCAATAAACTCCATCCATCTCCTCTGCCTCAAATTCAAGTCTCTCTATGTAAACAGATACTTCAAACTCTTGTGGTCCGAGAACACCTCGAACCTCTCACCATAAAGGTAGTACCTCAAAATCTTCAAGGCAAAGATCACTGCTGCTAACTCTAGGTCGTGTGTAGGGTAATCCTTCTCGTGTATTTTCAACTGACGTGAGCCATATGCTACCACTTTCCCCTCTTGCATTAACACACAACCCAAACCCTCTCGTGAGGTATCACAATAAACAGCATAACCCAACCCTCTCTCCGAAATAATCAAAACCGGAGCGGTGGTCAATCTAACCTTCAACTCTAGGAATGACTTTTCGCAAGTCTCGCTCCACATAAACTTGACCCCTTTTCGCGTCAATCTAGTCAACGGCGAAGCTAGCCTGGAGAAATCTTTCACAAACCGACGGTAATACCCAGTTAATCCCAAAAAACTACGGATCTCAAACACACTCTTAGGCTGTGCCCAATCTTGCACTGCCTCTACCTTGGATGTATCAACAGACACCCCTTTCCCGGATACCACATGGCCTAAGAATTTGAACTCTCCTAGCCAGAACTCACACTTCCCAAACTTGGCATACAGCTTA